GGAGAAAACAAGGAGGGCCCAGCAGGGACTGTGTTTTTACTGTGGCTCCAAGGAGCATGCTGTCAAGGACTGCCCAAGGAAGAAGCACCCAAACTCCCAGGTCCAGGCTCACTGAGGGGCAATTCCCTGGACCCTCCTCCAAGCTGCCCCTGTTTCATCACCACCACCAGCACCACAAACACCTCAGATTCCAAGCCCCACCAACTCACCATGGATGTCAAGATTCAACTCTCACCCAAGTCAACCATCACAACCAAGGCCCTTATAGACTCTGGATCATCCTGCAACATCATTGATGCCACCCTTGCCAAGTCTTGTGCCATTCCTACGATCAAGAAATCCACACCCCTCAAGGTCCACTTTGCCAATCATGCTCTGTTCAAGGAAATCAGCCATGAAACCAAGCTAAACCTCCACATCCAAGACTTTCCACCATCCATGGTCAATCTGGAAGTATTGGATCTTGGCTCACCCACATTCTCTGTCATCCTGGGATTACCATGGCTGCAAGCCCAGAACCCTGCCATTGATTGGGTCACTGGTCAAGTCCAACCTCCACCAATCGGAACAGTCACCCAAAACTCAAGTCAAGCCCCCAAGTCTCATGCTCTCAAGCCCTTGATTCAAGATTCACAGCCAGCCAAGACTCAAGTTCCACAGTTCACAGTTCACAGTCAAGATTCAAGTAGAGCTCATAGAGCTCACAGTCATGGCCATGACTCTTGTTCACAGAACCCACAGTCAAAGATTCAAGTACCACAGTTCACAGTCCACATTCAAGATTCAAGTTCCACAGCTCACAGTCTTTGCCAAGAACAGAACTCTCAGTCAAAGATTCAAGAATCACAGTTCCCAGTCAAGAATTCAAGCCCCACTGCTGAGGAGCACGACAACCTGGACCCATCAGACCTTTTGCTGGCATCCAAGCTACCAAAAGAATATCTCCCTTATGCTGATGTGTTTTCCAAGACCAAGGCAGAGCTGCTACCAGCTCAGAGGCCTTATGACTGTGAAATCCCACTCAAGGATGAAACTTGCAGCCCACCTTTCAAGCCACTGTACCACCTCTCTCCACCAGAAGCCAAGGCCCTCCAAGAATACATTGAAGAAATGCTGAACAAGGGATTCATCCAACCTTCCAAGTCACCAGCTGGAGCTCCCATCTTTTTTGTCAAGAAGAAGGATGGGGGACTGAGACCCTGTGTGGACTACAGAGATCTCAATGAGATGACAGTCAAGAACCGCTATCCACTGCCTCTCATCTCTGAATTACTGGACAAACTGAGCCATGCAAGGATATTTTCCAAGATTGACCTCAGAGGTGCCTACAATTTGGTCAGAATTAAGCCCCAGGATCAATGGAAGACTGCCTTCAGATGCAAATACGGTCACTTTGAGTACTTGGTTATGCCCTTTGGACTTACCAATGCTCCAGCTATTTTCCAAGGCATGATGAATGACATCTTCAGGGATATTCTGGACCTTTTTGTCATTGTCTACCTGGATGATATCCTGGTATTTTCATCTGACACTGCAAGCCATATGGGACATGTCAAGACTGTCTTGGAGAGACTCAGACAGCATCACCTCTATGCAAAGCTGGAGAAGTGTGAATTCCACAAGACCTCCATTGAGTTTTTGGGGTTCATTGTGTCTGACAAAGGGATCTCCATGGCACCAGACAAGATCCAAACTATTCTTGAATGGAAGGCTCCAAATTCCATCAAGGATGTTCAAAGCTTCCTTGGATTTTGCAACTTCTACAGAACCTTCATTGCCAACTATTCTGCCATAGCCAAGCCTCTCACTGATCTCACCAAGAAGACCACCAAGTTTGAATGGACCCCAGCAGCAGAGCAAGCCTGGCTAGCTCTTAAGACAGCAACCACAAGTGCACCACTCCTTAAGCATGTGGATCCCTTGCTTCCCTTCACCTTGGAAACTGATGCCTCAGACTATGCCCTTGGCGCTGTTCTGTCCCAGCCAAGCTCTCAGGACCCCTCTGCTCCTCTGCATCCAGTGGCATATTACTCCAGGAAGCTGAACAGTGCTGAGTGTAACTACACAGTCCATGACAAGGAGTTGCTTGCAATTGTGGAAGCATTCAAATTCTGGAGACACTACTTGGCTGGTTCTAAAAACATCTCTGTCTATTCGGATCACAAGAACCTCACCTTCTTCAGGGCAAGGAGGTTGCTCAAGCAGAGGCATGCCAGGTGGGCTGAACTGCTCTCTGAGTATGACTTTAAGCTGTGCTATTCTCCTGGCCACCTTAACACTGTGGCTGATGCCCTGTCAAGAAGAACAGACCTTGCACCTGAAGGGGGAGATGGTTTCACCCCACCATCCAAGACACACCTTTCATTGCTTCCTGACAGTGTGTGGGCCCATGCTATTTCCAAGGACCCCAAGCCTCACAAGATTCAAATCAGCCAAGAAGAGGAAAAACTTGAGATACTCAAGACAAGGCATGATGCAGCAACAGCTGGACACCCAGGAGAGCACAAGACATATGAGCTTGTTTCCAGAGACTTCTACTGGCCAGGCATGAGGAAGTACATCAAGAACTATGTCAGCAGCTGTGAAACCTGTCAAAGAAACAAATCCAGCAGACACAAGCCCTATGGACTTCTGGAGCCCCTCCCAATTGCCATCAGCCCTTGGTCATCAATATCCATGGACTTCATTGTGAAACTGCCCCCATCCCATGGATTTGACTCTATCCTTGTTGTCATCTGCAGAAGGACAAAGTTGGCCCATTTCATCCCCTGCACTGAGAATATAGATGCACAAGGAACAGCAGACCTGTTTTTGCAGCACATATTCAGGCTCCATGGGCTGCCTCAGTCAATCGTCAGTGACAGAGGACCACAGTTCAGATCTCAATTTTGGAAAGCACTCACAGCAGCCCTTGGAATCAAGTCTCAACTGTCAACTGCTTATCACCCTCAGACTGATGGACAAACAGAAAGAACAAACCAGACTCTGGAGCAGTATTTGAGGTGCTATGTCAGCTATCAACAGGATGATTGGCCCACCCTCCTTCCACTGGCAGAATTTGCTCTCAACAATTCTCTCCACTCAAGCACCCAGCTATCTCCTTTCTTTGCAACCTATGGCTTCAATCCAAGAGGAGATCTTCTGGGACAAGAGACCCTATCCAATGTCCAAGCTCCTGCTGCGGCTTCACACTTACATAAGCTCAAGATCATCAGCACCTTCCTGGACTCCACCCTGAAGCAAGCCCAAGAAGATGCCTCAAGATTTGCCAACACTCACAGAATGGACCATGACCTTGCTGTGGGTCAGCAAGTTTGGCTTCTGAGGAAGAACTTGCAGACCAAAAGACCAAGTCCCAAGCTAGACAACCTCAAGTTGGGACCTTTCAAGATCTTGGAGCAAATCAATCCAGTCACCTTCAAGCTGGATCTCCCTGCATCCATGAAGATCCACCCAGTTTTCCATGTCAGCCTTTTAGAGAAGTTTGTGGCCAATTCCATTCCAGGCAGAGTTGTTCCTCCTCCTCCTCCAGTTGAGGTAGAAGGTGAAGAGGAATTTGAGGTTGAACAAATCTTGGATGCCAAGTGGTTTGGAAGAACACTCAAGTTCCTTGTTAAGTGGAAAGGTTACTCAGATGCTGACAACACCTGGGAGCCTGAGTCAAACCTCACTCACTGCCAAGACCTTCTGCTCGAGTTCAAGACCAGGTACCCCACCAAGTTGCAGAAGAGGCCTAAAAGGGGGAGATGATGTTATGAATCACCCTCTGGAAACCTCTGGAACCTTCTAGAACATTCCTTCATGGAACCTTCTGGAACCTTCTGGAACCTTCTAGAACATTCCTTCATGGAACCTTGTGGAACCTTCTGGAACCTTCTTTGCTTTCCTGACTTGTCTTGTTGTCATTGGTATCATTGGTATCATTGCATTACTAATTGCTCTTTCTGGAACTTTCTTGGAGTCTTGACAAGGAACACTCTCAAAAGGTATAAAAGGGGGATGGGGGACCTGTCCCATCCCTCAAGTGAATTATTGTTTCCAATACAATCATCACTCCTCTCAGTTCCTTGTCTGCCTTGTCCTGTCCTGCCCTGTTCCTGACAAGTGCCAGCACGAGTGCAAAGCATATCTGCAAGATGGCTGCAGCCAATCATGCATCAAACTCTACCATCCACAAGAACATTTATAATCAGCTTGACTGTAGGAGCAAGCAAACAACAGAGATGCGTGAACACAGGCAAACTGTGTGCTCAGACACAACCATCACTGTCAGCACAGTGACACCAATCGCAGTGCAGATCGCATGAAGATCTTCCAAGTTCAATTGTGAGAGCAATCAGAAGTGTGCAGCCTTGTCCTACCAATGCGCTGACTGGGAACTGAACCCAGGGCTGATCCTATCTCCCACAGGTGGAAGTCGTCTATTTTACCACGAAACAACCAGCACCCTCTGTTGCTTGGCGTTGTCATTCAAGTACCCATCCTGTTGCCAATCAATGGCAAGCATTATGTTCTTTGCAACGTTTGCCACCATTGGCAGGACTTTAGCCAGCCATCTCACCAATGGTTAGGAGCTCAAAAGTGCTTCTTCAACCAGAGGGGTTTTCTGTGTGTGCTGAAGTTCTGCAAACAACAAACCAGATTCAACAGGAGGTCTTTGGAGGCAGAATGAGGAGCTCTGCTGAGAATGGAGGTGGAGCAGCTCTAGCTCAGTTCCAAATCAATACAATTTCGCTATTCGTGACAAAAAGGGCCTTTTTGTCGTGTAGTAGCTAAGTGGTGATGGCACAGCCCAGTCTGTGCGTCCTCACTGAAAGCGGCCACCTTTGGCAGCTTTGGCAGCTGACCCAAAGCCAGTGGAGGAGCGGTGGTGAGCGCACCTCCCCTGTGTGCCCCCATGTGCCTCGCTAGGGGAAAAATCTTCGCACCATATGTCTGTGCAGAATTACCATTCCACCTTCGAAGAAAGTACTCCGATAAAACAGCAAATGCTGGATGAGTGCTCTGGGTGAGAATCGAACTCACGACCTTCGGATACCTGAGTGGTGCACCTGGGCGACCAGGTGCGTCATGTATATGAGACCGACGCTTTAACCAACTAAGCCACCAGAGCCACTGATCGGGATTGGTGCACTCTATGTATTATTGTTTGCTTGAAACCCTCCTTCACGACTAGTACACACCGATGGTGCTCTGTGCACTGTTCCCAACTTCTTTCTGGGCCTCCTCAGGCGTGAAGATTCAGACCATTAAGAAAGTCTGAGGATTTGGATCAGAACTGTTAGGCAGAACTGACTGGTTAGCAGTCGAACCTATTGTGACTGTCAGTTATCGTTCTCACGATGCCCATGGGAGAGCAAGCCACCGCCAATGCAGACCCAGGTGCTGGCTTTCACTGTTGACAAATACTCCAAGTATTAAGTGGAACGGGAACCTGGTGTTCACAGTTTTCCTCCTCCTCTGCTCAAGCAGATAATATAGGAGAGGTTTTTTACCCTGTGCCAGTCACGCTTGCCTAGCAACTATTACAGCGTGCATATCATCACCTATATAATAAAAAAAACAAGGATTTGCGGCTAAACTGATTTTCTAATTGCAATTAGTGGAGCAGGGGGGGGGGTTTAATTTTTTGTCTTTGGTGCCCAATCAAAACTCGGCAGAAAAATCGGAAAAGGAAGGAGCTCAATGCGTTGTCTGTCTATCAGATTGTCTGTCTATCTCCCTGTTTGTAGGACTGGCAGTCAGTGGGCTGTCTGTCTCTCTGTCTGCCTTTCTATCTCTTTGTTCTGTCTCTCTCTCTGTCTCTCTGCCTCTGTCGCTCACTCTGTCTCTCTGTCTCTCTTCTCTGTTTCTCTCCCTGTCTCTCTCTCCCCTCCCTCTCTCTCTCCCTGTCTCTCTCCCTCTCTCCCTTTCTCACTCACTCTCTCTCTCTCCCTGTTTCTCTCTCTCCCTGTCTGTAGGACTGGCAGTCAATGGGCTATCTGTCTCTCTGTCTGTATCTCTATCGCTTCGCTCTCTCTGTCTCTCTTTCTCAGTTTCTCTCCCTGTCTCTCTGTCTCTGTCTCTCACTCTGTCTCTCCCTCTCTCTCCCTGTCTCTCTCCCTGTTTCACTCTCTCCCTCTCCCTCTCCCGCACTCTCTCTCTCTCTCTCTCTCTCTCTCTCTCTCTCTCTCCTCTCCTCTCTCTCTCTCTCTCTCTGTCTCTCTCCCTCTCCCTCACTCTCTGGGACTGACAGTCAACAGGCTGTCTGTCTCTCCATCTCTTCGCTCTGTCTCTCTCTCTCTCACTCTCACTCTCTCTCTCTCTCTCTCCCTGTCCTTCTGTCTCTCGCTCTCTCTCTCTCTGTCACACACACACACACTCTCTCTCTCCTCTCTTTTGAGCAGGGGGGTTGAGGGGGGGCGGCAGCCCCCCCCACCAGGGGGCTCAGGGGCGGGAGCCCCCTGACTCAAAAACATATTTTCCTCTGTCTCTCTGTCTCTTCATTATCTCTCTATCTGTTTCACTGTCTCTGTCTCTGCCCTCCCTTCAGTTCTTGGTTACTTTCTCGCTTGGGGGTGGGGCGTCTCTGACCATCTCATTGGAGGCAGACCAACCCATCAGACAAGGCAGCTGCAAGCCACTCGACGCAACCACAGGAAGGTGCCAGGATAGATAAGTGAGAAGTCTCTTTCTCTCTCTCTATCTCTCTTGATTGATTGAGCAGGGGTGGAGGGGGGTGGGGAGCCCCCTGACAGAAAAAACAACCCAGATTCTCTCACCTCCCTCCCTCCCTCCCAACCTCTCTCTCTCACTCTCTCTCTTTTGCATTTCAATCATGCTCTAAAAACTAAAAATGGAATGAAGTCAACGGGCTGTCTGTCTATAAGAGTGGCAGCCAACGGGTTGTCTGTCTATCTCCCTATCTCTGGGAGTGGCAGTCAATGGGCTGTGTGTCTCGATATCTATCTCTCTGTCTCTTTGCAGTCTGTGCCTTAACAGGCGCTGTAGGGTACCTCTTCAAAACACTCCCTCCGCCTGTCTCCTTCTGAAGCAAGCTGCTCTACTCAAGGGACCAAAGTGTGCATCAGTGTCTCCAACTTTGTGTGAATGTTGCTTTTCCCCTTCTTTGAAGTTTTGCAACCAACCCAAAAGGAGAAGCAAGGGGTGGAGGGGAGGCTGCAGCCCCCCCTCCTTGGGGTCACTGGGAGGAGGAGCCAACTGAAATGATATATCGGTTAATGATTTTGCAAAGTCAACGGGCTGTTGTCTATCTATCAATCAATGACTGCCTCTTTGTTTGAACTAAAGTCAACAGGCTGTTTGTGTTTCTCCCTCTGGGTTCTGTGAGCACTTTGGAGCCAGTGCTCAGCTGACTGTTGCATTCAACAGGCTGTCAGTCTTCCTGTTGCAGTCAAATGGGTTGTTGCATGAGCAGCCAAAGGCTGCAAGGGCAGCACTGAGTTTGTTGGAGGTTCCAGGTTTGCCAGTGTGGCTGTGCTGAAAGGCTGCGACTTCTCTCTTTCTGTCCCCTTTGTCTGTCAGTGTGTCAGTGGCTTGGGGCTAACACTCCAAGCTTTGTTGGTCACTCTCTGCTTGGCCTGCCACAATGTTCATTGTGGCATGCCACTCTCCGTTCAATCCAGGGACAGATTGCCTGTGTGTGGGACAACCAATATCCATTGAAGGCTTTGTCTTTAATCATTTTTTCTCTTCTTTCCTTTTTTTATATGTTTTTTGGCAAGGATTGCTCACAAGTCGACAGGCATCCCCTAGTTGTGTATCAATTATTCATAACAGACATCTCCACTTCATTCACTCCTTCCACTCACTCACTCAGAGTAGGCTGTTTACAAGAACTGGGCTGGGAATCCCGGCTGGTGTGGGCTCAGTACACACAGGTTGCAGCGACAATACAGGGACAAAAAAAAAGTGAAAAAAAAAAGAAACTGTTGCTTTGCCTTTTTTTTCTCTCTTTGTTGTTTTTTTTTCCTCTGCAACAGTTTTTTTTTCTGTTTTGGTGCCCTTGATCCAGGACCTGAAAAAGCTGTTCCAGTACCGGTGTGAGACTGCAATGAGGTCTCAGTGATAAAGTCTAGGGATTTTATTTGCAAAAACAAGAGTCTGTCATAAAACCACAAGGATCAGGAGCACTATTATTATTCCCAGCGTTACTTAATTGTTTAAATACCGCAGATATTTTTACACCACACTTTATAATGTGAACCTAGGACGGTACGGATGAATCTCCAAGTAAGGTAAAAATCCTTCTCAGCGGCATTATCGTCAAATCTTGCGACAATAATTGAATTGTTATTACCGCCATTTCAATTCTCTTGGATACACTTCTCAGTCCTTGCTCATAGCCATATTCCTCACCAAATGCACGGATCAGCGGAGCCTGCGTCTTGTAAAGGACTGGTTCACCCCCCTTCCCGCGATATGCATCGATATTGGAAAAGCGGTACACATTGTATTTTTTTTTCTTCCCTCTCCGTCACTCAGCGACAGATCGCCAAGGTTCACCGACACAATAGCGATTGCACTCTTTGTCCACGGCGACGGTGTAGTTCGAATCCCTGGGGGATCGGCGCTTCCCCTACGAAGTATTAATGTAAGGGCGGGGGGAAGAATGCCACGAAGGGAACGGAAAATGGGAGACGAAGGGAAAAGGCAATCCAAGGTTGCCAAGGAATTGGTTGTTTGAGAAGACAAAGCGTGATGACGTACTTGCAGACTCCAACTGTTCTTCGTATGGAGGAAGCCGCACTTGGCTCAATAGCCACACTCGCACGTACAAACACACACACACACACACACACACATGATCTCGCGCTCTCTCTCTCTCTCTCTCTTTCTCAGTCAGTGTCCTTCGCCCTCTGTTATCTCGCGACATCCGCCACCGGCCAGTCGGAACGTGCCCAATTAGCGCGCTAGAGGCTCAGCCGGCGGAAACGAGAATGCGTCCGGCATCAACCTAGGCCGGCGGACCTCGGAGGCGTGGCTGGGGCTCGCAGCGTGTCTGTGCGGGGGCAATATGTCGAGAGAGAGAGAGAGAGAGAGAGAGAGAGAGAGAGAGAGAGAGAGAGAGAGAGAGAGGGACAGAGAGAGAGAGAGAGAGAGAGAGAGAGAGAGAGAGAGAGAGAGAGAGAGAGAGAGGGACAGAGAGAGAGAAAGAGAAAGTATGCATGTGCGTGTGTCTGCTGCGTGTTTGCAGGGCTGAGCACACTTCGGGCGGATTAAAGACAAATCAATGGGCAGAGAAAAACTCAGGGCAGTCAGTCTCTCGGTCGCCCTGGAATTTGGCGCTCAATCGCCTCGACTCAGCGGCTCACTGGACCATCAACCAAAACGGGAAAGTTGCAGAAGCGCAAAGAAAAAGAGGAGAAAAAAAAGGAAAAGGAGGATATAAATTTTTAGTCGCATAAAAAAAAAAAAAATAACAAAAAAAATTACAAAAAAAGTTTTGGGAAATCAGCACCAATGCGGGCCGTCGCCGTCCCTGTTGTCGCCGCCGCCGCCGCCGCAGGCACCACCCGCGAGGCCGCCGAGACCTCCGTCAGTTTGGTCGACCCGGTCGTGGACCTCACTCACTACCAGAAGAGCCGCCGTGGGCACAGTCTCGGCCGCCTCAAGCAGCAGCAGCGGCGAGGGCGTGGGCGGCGCGGGCGGCACCCTTTCCACCTCCTTCTCCTCCCGCTCGCCCTCCTTCTCGCCCCCGTCTCGGCCCTCCTCCTGCTTTCACTGCTCGCAGAAGCGCAGGCCGTAGCCGCCGCAGCCGCCGACGCCGTGCCGGCAACCTCCTTCTCCCCCTCCCCGCCGCCGCCCCTCTCGCCATTGGCGCTGCTCCAGCAGCAACCTCATGCGGTAGCGGCGGCAGTGGACGTCCGACGCCGCGCGCCGTCGCCCCTGCCCCTGCCGCAGGGAGGGGGTGGTGTCGGCTGGGCGGCCGCCGCCGGCGAGAAGCAGCGCAAGAAGGACGAGAACCGCAAGATTGCGATCGGGGCCGTCGACGAAGGGCGCGCGTTCCTGCCGGACGCGGCCGACGCGCTGTCGGGGCCCATCAAGAACGAGAAAGGTGGGTGTAGAGTATGAACAACAACTACAACACACTTTGGCAAACCGTTGAAGCGT